ACATATTTCTGGCCTCTTGGGACCTGCTTGTCATTCTGACCTATGGCACTAGTTAGTTTGGAAATTTTTCAGACCCTACCCTATCCCCAAAAAGGCTGAATTAAAAATATCTCAATCAAAATTTCATTATTAGTTACCACTTATTCATTAGAACTCAATTTTATATTTAAGCTATTACTTAAAATTCTTTGTAAGTGATTAGTTTATTAAATACTATTTCATTTATTTAATCTTTCTTTAGTATAGACATGGGAGTAAAAAGAAAAGAAATTTCACTTTAACTAATTTCCTAAAAATGAATCTCAAACAACAATTTTATGCCAGTGAACAGAATAGAGAAACAATAATGTTCTATTTTGTGGTATCATTCATTGTCATTCTCAGAGTAGGAAAATTTCCAAACTAGCAGCCAATTGAAAGACTCCCCTTTTAGAATTTAATCAAATTAAGTATTTCTTCCAGATTCCTCAGATTTTTTTTTTCTGCTATAAATGTACATTTGCCAAGGACAACACCATTTTCAGTTCTTCCTAGCTTTTCAACCCCCCCCCCCTTTTTTTTTAAGAATCAATTAGTTTTGTTCCTCTCCCCTCACACCCCTCTCAACCTTTTTTTAAATCTGAGGACCTGTCTATCATATTGATCTATTTCTTGTAAGTGAGGTCAGTATAACCCATTAAAGGACTGAACCTTTATAAAGGTTTGACTGTTGTTGGCATTATGTTGGTTTTATCATTCTGTATGTGTAGAGGAATAACTTAACAGTCTTAGGTTCTTCTGTGGAAAAGAAAAATATTTCCAGAAAAGTCACTTTCCTTCCAAATGCTTAGCTTAAAGAATTGATATTAAGCCTGCTTACAGAAATTAGTTTTGTTAAATAATAGAGCTTATAATAAGTAGAAATGAATCAACATATAGTGGATGAAGCAATTTTTTCTATTATTATTTGTAAGATTACTAATATGAAGAGTGTTCATCTAAAAAAGATGCAGTTACATTTTATTTGGTGTGTAATTATAGTTTTTAAGGATCATTATTTCTGAATAATTAAAACTTTCAGATCAATTGGTAATCATTTTTGATAGGAAAGTGAAGCTCCTGTGGCTTTGGATTAAATTAAAGATGTTTAACAACACTTTTTTTCCCCATTTCTTTGTGCTTTTGTTGTTGTGAAATCTTGGCCTTTAATGTGTGCTAACTCTTAATTATTACGGTTACAAGCTTAACTGCAATGCATTCGTTACTTTAATTTGCACTTGATCAAGCCATTGGTGTGTATGTATGTGTATAGAATTTGTATAATTCTATTTCTTATACTTCATGGGAAGTTTGTCATTTTGAGGTGTATTGTTTTTAAAACTTCAAGTGATAATTACCAATGTTCATGATTCTGAGCTCCAGTAAATAGTGTTTTTTTTTTTGAGATGCTTCTAAGACTTTATTAATCACCACTCTCTGCCAAACATTTCTTACCTTTTATAAACTACCATAATTTATATATACAAAGCACAGGTACTCTTATGACTGAGGTATTTTAAAATAGTATGTGGCTAAATGTTGAATTATAACTTTTAACTAAAAAGATACACTTGCCAATAGTTTTTTTTTTTTCCTCCATTAAATCTAAAAGAAAACTTCCTAGTTTCAAATTTTTGGCAACTTCATTATATATTTTGGCTTCTTTTTATTTACAAGCAAGCATATCTCTGTGCTCTTTATTCTTTTATTCATCTGTTTTTATTTCTTTCCTTTTAATTTGTTTCCTCTTGTTTTATGAGGCACTGACACTATTTTTCTTTTATCCCTTTAGAGAAAAATATGGAGTAGGAGTATGATATATAGTGAAGGTTAACGAAAATTAACTTAATTTTTACATTGTTTTCTACTCAATATGCATCTATGCTGGAATAGAGGTGATAATTTTGGGGAATATCAAAAGGTATTTTTCCAACAACATCACAATGCTAATAGCTAATTCATTTTCCTTCATCTATTCACATATTAACAATTACATGTCTATGTAGAAATTTAAACAACCTAATATCTTATATTTTAGTATTTTCTAGTATGTGATTTCATGGGATGAAAAATAACATTTTGGGGAAATAATTTCTTTCTATGCTGAGTGTTTTGATCAAAACAAATGCTAATCAGCACACATAAACTGGGGACAACTATATAAATAAGTTATTTAATGCTGTGTCTTAATGAATCATGGTACATTACTTTTTTTTAGTAATTTCAGAATACTGAAATAAAATATAATCTTGCTATGTAATACACTATAAAATTCCAAATAAAAGCATAAAATTGCAAATCTGGCAAGAGATTTAAAAAGAGGAGGATAAAGGTCTATAATATTTAAAACTCTAAGTGCTTTTAAACTATAGATGAAAAAGAATTAAATTGTGTACTGGAAAAAAATAATATTGATTCACTTTTTCTACTTCTATAAATTAGTTAAAATGAAGAAGCTCATAATGACAGGTGTACATGTGCTTTAATACTGTATAGTAGAGGTGACATTGATGAATGTGTCTCTGGATGAATGATCCTGAAATGTAACATCTCATGACCTGCAGGTGTTTCCATACGCCTTCCCCTTGGCTGGAGGTTGTAATTGCTCTGTGCATTTTGCCTGTGAATTGTACCTCTTTGTTAAACTGAATCTTGCCTCTTTCACATGCTCTGCCATGTCCACCATGATTTCTTCTCCACAGTAATTTCTTGGTTTTGAAGTTGTGATTTAGGACATCTAGAAAGTACCCTTTTCCTCAGTTTACTTCCACATCCTTTCATTGCCCTATTTCCAGTGTGTTTAAAGTTATTCAGTTTTCTGACAGCTGTTTCATCTAGCTTTATGTCAGATGAAATGAACCTGATTGCCTTGAAAGGTAATATAAATAAATATGTTTTAGCAAATTACATTTTTGTGATCAACTCTTAATTTTTTTGAATTTAGGACTATTTAGGCTGATGAATTTGCACAGGAATTCATGAAATAGTAAAACTATTTAAAAGTCTTTTATTTTTTAGACATTAATTAGACCCAAATATGCATTCAATTTCGAAATCACCAATTGTTTCTGTTGGATATAATTTCTAATTTCAAATTCAGTAAAGAGGAATTAAAATTATTTTATACACACATAAATACACACATACATATGAATGAATATATCTTTTAAAATATGGTAAGTTTAATCAATTTTATAGTTAAGTACAACATCATATTTTCTTCTGATTGTAATTTTATGCCATTCTAAGAAACTTATGGAGTCTTCAATTTCTGAATAATACTTTAATGTTTACTTTTACAGATACATTTGTTTTATAGATGCTTTTCACAATTGCAAATCTGAAAGCTATCTGAGAAATAGTATCATTTTGCTAATATGTTTAAAATAAAATGTCTTGTTTTATCATTTTTCTAAATTTTAGCAATGAGAAGTTCATAGGAAATGTAAAGGTATTACATGTGGAAAGGCTTGTCTTTTTAGAAAATATTATGTAATCATATTTATTCTGATAGAATCACTGATACTTTCTAGAAAAGTAGCTCTTTTTTAGAGATTTTTAATACAAGTTCACCTACTTTCAACCTGCAATGTTACTCTTTTTATCATATTCTATATAAAATAATTATGTAAAATGAACATGTAAATTTATTTTGAGAATTAAATGCTCACTCATGATGAATTATTGGATACTTGAGGTAAACCTTGAATACTATAGGCAGAAATCAAAGTTTGAAAGAAAGACAGGCTTGATAAGCAAATAGGGTAGAACTCAGTGTGCCTGTGATAAAGCTGAGCCCTAGAACCTTAGCTGCAGAAAAGACAGGAAAATTAGGATATACATGCTGGTGGGGGAAGGGATGGAGGGCTTACTGGGGTTTAGATATTAGAATATTAGCTATAAGTCTTCTTTCCACATGTTTACCTGTACCAAACACATTGATGTGCTTGTTATTTGCTAGGCTCTCAGGAAATACTGATGATTAAGAAGGTGTGGAATATGCCCTAAAGAGCTATATACTCTACTGAGGGAGTCACATAAACAAACAAACAGATAATAAGTGCATATATTAAATAATGATACACTGAAGAAAATACTGTGGCAAGGAGTACATCTGAGGGACTCACCTGATGAAAATCTTGTCTGAAGAGGTGATTTTATTCTAAAGCATGATAGTGTCAAATATACAAAGAGTAAGAGGATGAGAAAACTGCCCCAGTTGTGTTAAAGAGCCCCTGGCAGAAGAAATGGCAGGTGGTCCCACAGATAAGGTGCTAGAGCCCAGCAAGAGAAGTCCAAAATGAAGTTAGAAAGGGAAGTTCTAAGAGATTAGACTTTGCACACATCTAAATTCTACGGAAAAAAAAAAAAGAAGGGGGGGAGAATATTTTTGAAAAACAAAAGCATTTACACAGCTGTTTTTTTTTTCTGAAAAAAAATTCAAAAGTCAAGATTTTACACGGAGACATTTCAATGAAAAAAATGAGTTCTTTCCCCAAATTTACTACCCATGAGTTAAACCCACTGACCTGTCAAGTATTTAAGAAACAATTTTCCAATAAAAGGTTTCATTATCGTAAGAAGCATCACATCACTGAAAGAAATTTCTTTTAATATTCCTATTTGTCACTATCTTTAAAAGTCTTTTTTAAGTTCCTTTTCTTTTCTTTTCTTTTTTTTTTAACTCTGAAAACAAAACCAGCAAAGATCCAATTGAATGCAGGAGAACGAAGCAAGCATGTTCCTCCCAGATCCATAGGAGCTAGATGAGGCAACATTCCTAATGAATTAAAATGCTTGTCACCTAGCGCATTCCGGACAGAGGGCAGTCTTTAAGACCCAGCGACAGTATTTGTCTGGAGAGGAAATGTTGCTTTTTGACAGATGAGAGAAATCCCCTTAGTGCTGGCTGTGGGAAGAGAGAAGTGAAGTCAGTCACCTGGTGGTGAAGGCCAGTAAAACAGCAAAGCAGGAGGAAAATTGCTCTCTCCCTCTCTCTCTCTCTCCCTCTTCTCTCTGTAGGATCCACCTCCTATTCTCTCAACTCTTTTAGCATAACCTTCAAAAGAGAACGTTCCCTTCAGACTTTATTATCTTCTTTTCCCCACTGAGAGAATACCTCTTAGCTGCAAGACATTTTTTAAGTCTATGCAGGACTTCGGGGATTCGGTTATCTTGCCAGGGAAATTGATCATTGGTAATGTCTGGGACTCACAGTGTGCTAAATTAGCTACCAGAGTAAGCCTGACGGAGGAAGGCTTTTATCATATACTCTTCTCTTCAGTTTGAACACATTTGCTTGAAATTTGCCGCATGATGCTGTCCAGGGAAGCAGCTTTTTTTCTTGGGATGCAGCAATTCGCTGGTTTCTAAGCTTATTGCAGAAGAAGAAATAATCTTAAATAGAGTGGATTTCTCCCCCCCGTGGTTGATTCGACTGAGCTGTGTTCCACCGCGGTAACCATCAACGATCACCTGTCATTAAATCTTTGAGGAAGTAAAAACAAAGTGAATTATCATTATTATTTATTTATTTTTATTATTTTTAACCGGTGGAGGCGGCGTGACCACGGAGAATGAGACTGAGAGAAGCTGCCAGGGCTTGGAGGAGGATAAAGCTGAGTTTAAGCTGGAAACTAAAAGACTAGATTGTTATTTGGTACAACTTGCCCGGTTCCTCTCCACTTCCTTTAGTTTCGCTCCATGGACAGATCAACAAACCTGGACATTGAGGAGCTCAAGGTACGTGATCCTCGTCGTCTCTCCTTTCCTTCACTCGCTCTCTTGCTCTCGGGTCTTCTTTTCTCTTCGCTGCCTCTTGCTAGCGCCGCTGGAATAGTTGGTGGTCTCATGGGACAGCGAGTGGGCATTCGGGGTGAAGCGTCCCCGGGCGCGGGCGCCCCTCCTAGGGCCGAGGACATGGAGGGCGGCTTTTCCCTAGCACTCTGGGGCTGGGCTCCCTCCCTTTCTGCTCCTCCTGTCAACAGCCACCCTGTCCTCCTCCTCCTCCTCCTCCTCCTCTTCCTCCTCAGTTCACAGCAGCATCTGGGGTACCAGACCCGGCGCCCAGTGCCGGTTAAGCTCGCTCCGGAAAACGGCCGCGGCAGCACCACCTCTGTCCGCTGTCACCCGGGTTTCCCAGCAAAGTTGTCCGAGATGCGCGGCCACTTTGCCTCCTGTCCCCTCCTCCGAACCCGCTTCTGCCCCGCCCGACACAGGGACAATCTATTTCCGCTCAGAGCTTGGCGTTGTAGAGGCGTTTGCGGCGGGTGCTGCGTTGTATTCCAGCACTCCGCGAGACCCTTTCCTCCCACGACCCGACCCGGTTTCCCCCAGGGTCGTTACTGCCCGGGGCGGGAACTGGTGATCGGCCTGGGGACACTGCAAGTAAAAGGACTGGGGAGCTCGGTTCCCGTTTGGCGGGCGATGTGCCTTACCCCGGTACCCCCGCGCGCGAGTGAATCTGAGGAACAGGGGCAGGGGAACCGGAGGCGGGAGAGGGTCCGGGGGCGGGGCGGCATCGCGATCCTCTGAGTGCCCCTCCCCCGCCGCCTGGGCCTCCGGGCGTTGGGACCCTCACCCTGTGCCTGCCGCTCCGCCCTGCGTCTTCGCCGCGCCCTCTCTCTCCTGGGTCCTCCCCTTGACTGTGCGGGGTTGCCCGGCAAGAGCACCCGGTCTGCTGCCAATCCGCCCCTCTGCTGGTGGGCATCGCTGCCTACAGGGCCTTTAGAATATAAAAGAAAGAAAAATAAACTTAAAAATCAACAAATCACAAAATAATTTAAATGTCCCGCTCACTGTAAACGAAAAAGCACAAAAGGAGCTACACTAGAAACATTCCCCCCCCCATTTCTTCATCATTCTTTAAGCATTTTGTACACTCTACTATTTTGCTTCAAAGGGTATTTTTACTAGAGCTTCAGATGAGCTCTGTTCAGGTGAGGACTCTGTAGATATCCTCTCTAACTGGAGAAACTTGATTAGTTGAAGTTTGCCCTGAAATGTCAAAAAAAAATGGGTTTATCCAGAAAACTGAGCTCAGGGCTGGGGAAAATCCCCCAAAGAGCACAAAAACCTCTCTCTGCAGCCAGTCTTCTGCCATGGCCACCAAGCATATCTGGTCCAAGAGCCCATTGAGCCCGGCTTTTCAAACTGCTTTAAAGAGAGGCAGGAGAGACAGACAGGTTGAGTTAAGACAGAGGGAGAATGTTAGGAAGGTATTAGAGATCACTTCCATTGGAGACTCCTGGGAGGAGGCAGATTTGATGTTCAAAAGTTGGCAAACAAGTTTCTGTGATTTGGTCAAGGTCACAGTCAGTAGACCTTGGCCTGAACTAGAAATCTTCTATTATCCTTGTACTATGCTAAGACATGATAGATTACCTTTGTGTTTGAAAAGATCCCTTGGTTCTCTTTCACCAGCATCCCACTCTCTTGGGAGAAGGGTTATGTTTTATTTGCTATGCAAAAGAGAGCATGAACCATGTGATGTATATTTATGCAGAGGTGGAGTATCTAGATGTTGTTGTTGTTTGGGAACTACAGGGTGGCACAGAGGAAAACATTTTCTTTTAAGAAACTGAAGGGAAAAGTGAATTTAGGTGATCCTTTTTGCTGATATTCCCCTAGTTCCCTACAAGTGTATCTCCCTCTGAACCCACGGAACCTACCAAACGTTTTAAATGTACAAAAAGAGAAACCCACTGTGGAAACTTCTGTTAGTAGAAGATCTCAGCTTAATCCTGATACTACTACACATTGATTCAAGATTCTCATAGCCAGAGTGTGCTAAACTGTGGATGGACATAAACTGTGGATGGGCAGCAAAGGGTAGAGAACTAAAAGTTTTAGGGCATGAGGGAGTGCGTTGGCAATGACTCTGAAGAAATGAAGGAATACTAGACAAAAAGGTGAATTGAAGTTGCCCAGAAATTATGTCAGAGCAAACTACTTTTGAGAGTCAAAACTGTCAGGGGAGAAATGTTGGCAAGCCTTAATAAAAAAATGTTTGAGGTCCTCCAGTTTAGGAAATAAATTCATGTCATCAGTTTTGAATACACACCTGGAATATTAAGTTTTGGAATACTTACATTCTGAAATATATATGATTTGTGATATATATACTGCATGTGGACAAATTTACCTGGATTTCTTCTTAGAGCAGAATGCATTGGCTTGGGTTTCCTAGACAATTTGATTTCCATTTATTCTCTGGTGGCTCCTTACTAGAGAACTGCCCAGGGTGATTGATGGAGAGAGAGAAGAAGAAAGCTGGGGATACTTATTTTGGCATTATTTGGCTGTTTTGACTTTTCTTCTAGTGATCCCATGATGCTTCCATAAATGCACATCCACATAAAACTTTAGTTTTTGTGATGCTTTAAATACATGAAAATAAAACAATACTTACAGGGACTTGTTAAATAAATATGTATATTATTCTAAACATTCAGTTTAGCAGAGTTTTAGATAATCAATATTACAGGAAGTTGCTTATCTCAGGTTCTAAGAAAGGCACATTTTACTAATTCTTTATTTTTTGTTTGGAATAAACATTTCTTTATGATATCTGAGCACAAATTTATATTTTTTACTGTGCCAGGTGTGTGAGCATTATATTTTGATGTGCTGTACAGTAAATAATATTGCCTTTTGTAACTTTTTAAACTAAAGATAAGCTTCAGTAAGTGTTAAATCACTGCCATCATTATCATAAATGTAATATGCATATTAAGGGATTTGCTGGTGGAAAACTAAAATATAGCTATGTGTATAAAACTTGCTAATGAAGGCAAGCATGTTTCATCTTCTATTCTGCACACAAGCCCCTGATGAAACAGATCAGTGGTGAAAAGGGAGAGAGTTCTCAACCAGAGAATTTTGGTCTGTTCTTTTCCTTTGATCTCTGTTTCTTTCTCCAATGAATGTATAAACTTTACTCTGGATTTTTGCCTTAGTGTTTGTTTTAAAGAAGAAACAACATCAAACAACCCAAGATTTGGGTTGCTACTTTGGAAATGTGGGTGTTAATGAATATTGATATTAGAAAAAGCATCCTCTATCCTGGAATATCTCTGAGTTATATATGACTCTGTGCATTTTAGTAGTAGATATTTAAATATTAACTTTAGCTTTGTAGTTTGTTTCTTTTAAAAAAACTGATCTTATATACTGGAACTGAGACTGCTACTAATTTTTAGAGTTGATGATTTTACATTTGCTCTTTGTAAGGTTTATTTTTTAATACATTGAGGCTGGATAAATGGTTGTGATTAAGTGGAGGACTTTGTTGATTCCTTGACTCAACTTTTAGAATATGGGTTCTAATTCACCTGTACAAATTTGGCAATTAGAAAATTATGGTTTTCTATACTAAGGATATATTTAACATATATAATTGTAATTTGCTTGGGAATCAAAAATGTAAAACACATTAAGAATACAGTACCGTTTTGCAGTCATATTTGATTTCAGCTTTTATTTATTTATTTGTCAAGATTGTTCCTTTAATGAGATCACTGCTTAGAAGTTAAAATGGGAAAATTTCTATTTGTTCGATTTGTATGAAGAAAATGAACAATGTGCATCTGGCATTTTTAAATTATTATTTTGTAAGGTGCAAAACCTATAAACCACATAGTTAGTCTTGAGATGCATAAAGAAACTTTTTTCATTAAGGATGATTTTAATTGTTTGAGTTCATTTAGTGAAGTCCAGTCAGTGTTGCTTAATGTTATCCTTTCAATTTGAACAAAATTTCATCTGCTAAGAACTTGAAACTTGCCCTAGATAGGTGAGGCAAAACCTTCCCAGAATAATACAATCAGGTCATTAGGAAAGTATTGTACAGGCAGGAAATGATAATCCAGCAAAAACATGCGTACGTATTTTAAACTGCTGAGGTCTTAAACCAGCCTCATAGTACATTTATCTACAATTCAAACAGGAGAATTGGCACCTAGAAGAATTCTAAATTTTTTTTTCTTTCCTTTTCTTTCTTTTTTTTTTTTTTTTTTCATCAATAAGACACTCAGCCCAGGAAAGTCGAGCTTGCTGCAGTGTGGGAGGCTTTGTGATGAGTGTAAGTAGGTGGTATATTTTAATGCTAGTCATTCCATAGTGAAAAATAGTACTCTACAACACATGCTATATTTTTAGCAACCTGTCTTATATATTCATTTGTTGGTTTAGAATAAAGAAACCTATTTGTGAATACTGAAGTATTTGACTTCTTTAATAGCTTATGGAATTATAACTTTGTCCATCCAGATTCAGTGCCAGATCTCCTGGTAACAAAAATTAGCCATAAAGGTCCAGTAATAATTAACCTCAATTTTTAAAGTTGATATTATTTTAAGTGGAAAAATTTTAATTGTATAGATTTATGGGGTACAACATGACATTTTAATATGTTATGTATACAATGTGGAATGATTAGATTAAACCAATTAATACATTCATTACCTTACTTTTTGGTGGCAAGACACTTGAAACTTATCCTTTTAGTTATTTTGAAATATATGGCACATCATAACATAGATATTTTAAAATTCAGAAATGGTGTTAATTGAAGTGAAATAAATTTCAAGTGATACTAGTGAAACATTGTCTATACAGTTAGGAAGAATGAAAGAAAATACTTGATATGTGAGAATTAGGGATATGAGAGAATTAGGGATAATACATTTGAGGAAAGACATACAAATGACTAGTTGTAAAGTCTTCTGTGGTCTGCTCTCATT